GCACCAGGGCCTGTGGATGGAGAGACACATTCAGACCCAACTTCACAGTTTGTTTATGGATATATTCTGCATATAACCTTCAGATCTGTTTGTCTTCCTTAATTAGAATTCCTGGTGTACACAAAACCCAATTTCCCCTCTGTTTTATATTTTTACCACCTAAGGGCCAAGTGTACTGCCATAAACTTTATGGGATTTTTGTAAATATTAGTTGACAACTTCTAGTGCTATCTGTGGGCTTTTATAATCCTGTGCAAATTAATCACAGTGTTTAGTGCTTACTGTGAGCATAACACTTGGCAGTTTGGGGAGGGGGCTAAGGAGGTGATCCTTGCTTAAGGACCTGCATTGTGGTTGGAGAGACAGGATTTATAGCCAAGAAGCAATCAAATGAGACTCAAGAAAGCATGTCATCAAAAGAATAACCAGGTGCTGTAGGCTGTTAGGGAAGGGGACATGGAGATGGGGCACATGTGTATTCACAGCCATGGGAGCAATCAGAGAAGGCTTCTAGAAGTAGGTGGGGACTTGATGGGGGGTTGTTAAACAGGGAAGGTTTAGTCAGAGGTCAGCAAATAAACAGGAGCCAAGGCAGAGTCAGAAATGAGCACAGCATGTTCAGGGCCTAATGAAGAGAGTGCTGACCACAGCGAAGGTGAATGGTGCGAAACGATAAGGTTGAAAGCTAGTCAGAGGAGTTCAGGTTCAACACAAAAGGAAATAGGAAACAACATTTTTTTGGTTAGGGAAGTGACATGGTGTTTTTTGAACACGAGATGGATTTTTTTGTGGAAGGAAGAATGAAGATGGGGCATCTAGTTCATGATCTGGGATGTAAGGTGGTCAGGCTCTGGATTGCAGCATCAGCAAGGTATTTTGAAATGCAGTACATGCAGGTAATCACATCTAGAATGCCAGCTCAAGGCCTTTAAATGGGAATGTTTTATATAAGGGCTTGGGGATTAGGATCCCATAATAGTGTGTTAGTGACGTAATAGCACATGTAGCTGATTTAGAGCTAAACTCATATTCTAGCTTTTCCTCATATCTTACTGTCTCAGCCACTAAGTAATTGTGTGTGGTTTTGGGCAAGTCACTTAACTCCTCTGTGTCTTGGTTTTGTCACCTGTAAAATGAGGATATTAATAGTACCTGTATCATAGGCTTGTTATGAGAATTAAGTGAGTTAATACATGTAAACTATCTACACTAGAACCTGGCACATAGGAAGACTTTAAAAATATTATTTATTCAGTAATTCACATTATCATGGTAATATAAATATTTAAATTACCCAATGAGCCAAAGCATCTAGAACTGTACTAAATTGAGGCCCTCAAAAAAAAAAAAAAAAAGCTTGCTGGAGATGTTGCAAAGATGGGACTCATTCAGAAGCTGGGATGGAATATCAAAAACTCCAATTCCATAAACTTGTTAAGGTCTGAAGAGTAAAACCTAGGGACCTGAGTCACAATTTAATCATGTTACTTCTGAGCTAAAACACCTTCACTGGCTCTCACTGCAGAGATGAATCTGGTCTTCTGAGCTGGCAAGCAAGCCAGCCTTCTTCCTCTGGGTTTGGGCCAGCCTTGTTAGCCTCTTTCTTCCCCTTGCTGGAGGGCCCTTCCTTCCACCACTCTGCACTCCTGCTTGTTTTCAAACCCATCCTACCCTGCCCTTCGGTCTCCTTTGTGCCCTTACTCATTCCTCTACCCTGTTTATGCCCTATAAAATTAGTCACCTGTTTTTAAAATACTTTATTTTTTAGAGCAGTATGAAGTTCACAGAAAAATTTCACAGCAAGTACAGAGTTCCTATATACTCCCTCTCCAAGCAGTATCTCCTATTATTAACATCTTGCACTAGTGTGGTACGTTTGTTACAGTTGATGAACCAATATTGAGGCATTATTGTTAACTAAAGTCCATAGTTTACATTAGGGCTCACTCTCTGAGTGTACAGTTCTATGGGTTTTGACAAATGCATAATGTCCTACATCCATCATTCTAGTATCATAAAGAATAGCTTCCACTGCCCTAAAATTGCCTTGTACTCCACCTTTTCATCCCTTCTCCTCCCCTTCCCATCGGTTTTCAAAGAATCAATTAAAATGGCCCCTCTCCTGTAAAAACTCAGATTCCCTCAATTACAATTAATCTCTTTGATGCATGTACAGTACTTTCTTCATACTTGTAATAGCTCCTATGTTCTGCATGGTATGAGAGATGTATATACTTTTCTACCTTCACTGGATTGCCTGTCCTTGAGGGAGGGGCTGTGCCATAGATTTGTCCTGACAACACCTAACCCAGATCCTTGTTCTTAACAGCTGAAATTCAGTTGTGAGCAAGTATTAGGACGGGATTTTGTAGAAAAGGTCTCAAGAGGCCTGGTGTAGTTGTGAAATTCACATGTGCTTCATGGATAAGTTCCTTGAAGGGAACCATCTTCTTTCCCTTCAGATTTCGGCTCAGAAGCAGCCATAGGTGAGGTGGGCCGGGTCAGCTTTAAATGAGCATTACTAGTAGGCCACACGGCTATTTCCCTGCTTCTCCTCCCTCCAAAAAAGAAAAAAAGGACAAGAGCCTGGTTGTTTTTTCCCTTCCAGAGGACAGGTCTCTCAGGAAGGCCCCTGGAGAGTCTTCTGTCTGGTCCCCACTCTTTCTTCCCAGGTGCCCCAACAATTGAGAATGCCCAGTGTGTCTTCTCTGGGCGTAGAACACCTTCCCATAAACACTTCTTATTTTCTTATTTCACGCTGAGGTTTTTGCTTTAAAGACAGTTATCAAACGTTCTAAAACGCTGTAGGAACATGCAGATCGGAACAAAAGCAAATAAATCGAATCTTGTGAAGTAAAAACCAGACGTCTTTCCAACAGCCAGCACAAAGCTAAATGAAAAATATCAGTCATCCACGAGATACAGTATCTTCCTTTCTAGACAGGAGCTGCCATTTGCAAGCCTCCCCCATCCCAAATATGAGACAGCGAAGGTATTAGACAAAGTACTCTCCTCGGCTCCCAGATGGAAGTCAACATTTCCAGCAGCCGTATCCCTTTGAGCAACACCGCTGTTTGAAAGACCTTGGTTTTCATTCCCTGTACCTGCCTCCAACACAAGGGGGGTATTAGACAAAGTACTCTCCTCGGCTCCCAGATGGAAGTCAACATTTCCAGCAGCCGTATCCCTTTGAGCAACACCGCGGTTTGAAAGACCTTGGTTTTCATTCCCTGTACCTGCCTCCAACACAAGGGGGGGGGGGGGGGAGATGGAGAGAGGGAGAAGGGAGGTGGGGTGTACGTGAGGGGGCGGAATTCTCTTCACCCCACCGTTCCCAGAGCTCGAGGTCAGACCCGGCGCGGGGCTGCGGGCACAGGGCCGGGGGTCTGGGGAGAAGAGTGGGGGCGCTCTAGAAATCCGGTTAGAGCTAAAGGCAGTTACCTGGGGCGGTGAGTGCTCTCTAGAGAGCCGGGCTCCCCCATTCCCCTGCAATCAGAAAGAGCGGAGGAAGGGGTGGGGGTCCTGCCCAGCTCCGGAGGAGTAAGGAAGCCAGCCAGAGCCCAGCGAAGACTGAGCTCAGATACCGCAGCGACGACAGCCGCTAGCACCTGTGCTCCCGGGGGGCGGGGCCTCCTCCAGGTGTGCGCCCAGGGACGACGACGCGGACGGCCCAGGCCGGCCGCGGGAGCCAAGCGGGCGATCGTCCCTCCCCAAGAAATGCAGGGGGAGGAGCGGTTAATCCGCACACCGCCGACGCGGGATCCACGGGCGCCGCCCGCCTCTTTCGGGGGA